TGCTTGATGCATGGTAGGTATTTTTTAAATATCTACTGAATGGAAATACTTCAAAGAGAAAGACAGTGAAGTACAGGCTTTGCTCTTCTGCATTCTTCCACATGCTGGAGTAACAGGACCCATCATAGGAAACAAATGGACTATCGTAATGAGGCTACTACGTTACACAAACACTGAAATACCTTTTGAATCATAAAAAAGTTAACTTATCCTCAGGACTACAGACATTGCATTTTAATGTTTCAAACTATTTGAAAATAATTAACAATATAGTATATATAAACATTATTTGGTTCTGGAATGAAACTGCCTAGCTTTCATCCCAGCTGTCACTCAGTTGCTGGGTAACATTGAACAAATGATTTAACCTCTTTTGAGTCTTCATTCCCTCATGAGTTCAAACAACATCTACTTCGTAAGAATGAGAGTTAGATGAATAAGCATTTAGAACTGAACCTGGCACGTAGAAAAGACTTCAGTAATTATTATTAATAGCCTCTCATTCTGTAACTCAGATGAATAACAAAGCTTACAATACACCTGTAAATAGCCCCATAGATCTGGTAGATAGTAACTTAATATTGGCAGTGAATTCTGTGGATTATAAGTACCTGTTGTTATAACCAAGTTATTTTCTAAGTTAATGAATATTTTACAGCTCTTTTCTTACCAAATATTTGCAAACAAAAGCTCTGACACCAAGAGCAAGAAGAGCACATCCCACTAGTCTAAATATTCGAAAAGAGTCAAATTCTTCTGTGGTACTTCCATCATCTTGGCTGGGTTTTTCGCTTATCAGTTGTTTCCGTAGCTTCATTGCCTCTTCAAATCTGGAAAGGTACTGTTCTAGGCCATGGTGAGAACCCCTCTGGACAGTGTCGGCTGACAGGTCCCCTCTGTTCCGCTGCCGGAGCTCAAATTGATGTCACTACTGCACTCAGGTTAATGACGAGTCCAATTTGTCTCCTAGCTGGGAACCCTTAACTTCCAGCCACACCACCCTGCTGATCAGTTCCTGTACTGAGAGAGTCACCCAGCACTACTCGCTTTGAAACTGAAGGAACACCAAGGGAGTTCAGTTTGTCACTGTACTGCTGCTTTGATTTTGCTTGACTTTCTTCATCTGAGGAAAAAAAGAAAAATTTAAAGACTGCACATTACATACCAAAAAACATAAATTAATATTAAAAATATGATCCTACAGCTAGAACTCAGCTGTCTGCAAGAATCGTAATGCTGATTCTGCATAAAAACAAAAAACTAGTCTGTTCCTCCATACCCTCAAAATATAGCATCCAAAAGAGTGTTCTGGCAGAAGGAAAGACATTAAAGGATGGGCAATCAAGAAAGACTAACTTTTCCTGGATGATTCCACTAAAAATATAAAGTCATTCAAGCTTTTTAAAACCTGTATTTTAAAACTTACATTTCCACACCCAGAACCCTATGAGCATAGGGCGTGGCATGGCTACACTTACTGTTTACCTAGTCAGGCAGCCATTAGTAGGCACTTACTGCAGTTTTAGAATGCTGTCCTGCTTTTAAAAAACAAACCTTTAAGGATAGATAAAATGTTCAAAACAAAAGACTGAAATATAGTACTTCGAGAAAGAAAATAAGCAATACTTTGGGAAATAATAAGTGTACTGATATTAATCATTAAAGAGAAAATGTTTCTTCTATTGTTTTAGAAGAATTTGAAAATGATTTTCTTCCATCTGGTTTGAACTATCTAGAAGTTCAGAGTTAACAATTGAGGCCGCACAGAAGTCACAAAGGATCTAAATCACTTGCAACCAGTGACTAAGGCCAATCACTAAAGGAAACCTAGAGCACACCAGGTGTCAATTATATTATGAAAAATTTTATGGGATGAAAAAATGAGGACTTTCCTTTAGGTTAAATGCAGATCCCCAAATGGAATACCAGTAATCTGTGCTAATTAGGAGAAGAAACCTCAGGCTGGGACAAGACACTTGTAGGGACCATAAAGAATGCTCACTCATATGGACCTTTTCCACCTCTTCTAGAAGATCCATGGTGACAGTGTTGGGGACCCCGGGGACAGCCACCAAGGCATGACGACCAGGATCCTTAAACTCCCATAGGAGCAGTGAGGGGGCGGACAAGAGTCATACAACACAAGAAAAAGAAGGTAGACGCCCTGTCGGGGACTGGAACTCACGAACAGGGGACGATCTACCCGAGGGGACGCAGGGGAAAAAAACGTGCACCCCTGCAGAAAGGCGAGGGAGTGGGAAAGGAGGAGAGGACGGCGACAATCTCAGGGCGAAGCTCCCGGAATACAGGGGGAAGCCACCAGGACCCACCTGGGGTCAAGGAGTGGGGACATGGGGCATCCCTAGGGGCGGGGAGGTGGGACAGAGCGAGGTCAGGGAACGGGGCCGGGTCAAAGGTCAGCGGACTGTAGCGGGAAGAACAATCTTGATCATTCAAGGGTGTGCAGGGAAACTGAGGCTCTCACCCCGCGCGCTCCCGGCCTGTGGAAAGCCCATGATCCGGTTGATGCGCTGCTCCGAGTTCATAAGCAGCTTTCTCCGCCGCAGCTCGGCCCGACGCTGCGAGGCCGACAAGCTCGAGCCCACCGGGGCCCCCGGCCTGTCCCCGCCGTCGGTAGGCACAGTCACCGGTTCCATCTTTCCCTCCACAGTGGGAAGAGTGGCGGCGGCGGCTGTGGTGGTGGTGGCGCCAATGACTCAAGGCCTGGCCACAGGGATTGCGTCCCCCGCCCACGGTAGACCCACCCCCAAGCGCGGTGCCGAGACTGCGGAGTGACCCACGCGCGCGACGCTGTCAGGAACCGCGCGAGGCTCTGTCCGCCATCTTGGTAAGGGCATTAGGGGGCTACCGAGTCCCTCTCCGCTTGGTTTCGCCTCACACTCCCCTGATTCGGGTTCCTTCTGCCGTTCTCTCGGAGGTGAAGAGAACCGGAATCGCGTTCTCTAACGGGCAGGAAAGGGATGCCCGTGAACGGCAGGTCCATCTAGTCTGGTGCCAGGAAGCAAAATGGAGATTGCATGCGCCAGGCGCTTTGATTCCCGGTCCATCTGTGGCTCCTCTGATAGGCTGGAGGATACGTAATGCGCGCAGACGCTATCGGGAGGTGGCGCTAGGATTCTTTCTCGCGCAGATTCCCACCCTGAATTGCGCTTCTGCAAGAGGTTCTGATTTGTTCCCAGGCTTTCTTGTGTTTTTGTTCAAATGAGATTCTCCAATGAAGTCTTCCCTGTCCATTGTAGCTAAATTGCCAATGCTCGCTATTCTCCGTCTCCGTCATATTTTTATCTCCTTCGCACTCATAACCACCTGGCGGGCTAAGCCTTCTCATTTTATTTACTGTCTGCTTCCTGCTGTTGGAATGAATGCAACCAAGCTTACACGAAAGCAAGCACTGTGCTTTGTTAACTGGTGTCATTTCTTGAACAATGTGGGCCAATAAGGTGACCGACTTACTCATCGGGCACAGCAGGCAGGAGGCTGAGGACTCCCCATAGTCTTGAGCCCATGAAAATGTCAAAATGATGGTGTTGACTCCCTTAACATCAGAAGACAATACAATAATTTTTGTACAATAATAATCCCAATTTGGATTATATTCGTCCTTACTACAGCAGTCACAAAATATATTTTAAGTTATTATGAAAGGAGGAACCAAAGGCCAAAAGTGCCTGAGGCGCAGGAAAGTCATGATGCAACGCTGGCACTCATACTATCAGGGTAGCTGTAGTGGTCCTGTGGCTCACACCTCTAATCCTGGCTACTGAGGAGTTAGAGATCAGGAGGATCCCTGTTCAAGCCAGCCTGGGCAAAAAAGTTTCTAACCCTATTGTTCGTGGCTGGTTCAATCTGTGATCAGAAGACTTCCAAATCTCTTTGTCCCCAACGTGGAAAATCCATGGTAGGAATACTGAGTATAAATGAAGTTTATTAAAAATTTAGAAGGGACTACAAAGGGAAGTGCGGTGAGGCCCAAGTGGAAGCTGGAAGCAGAGAGAGAGTGTTTCTGCACTTCAGGTGCTTTTAAAACCTACTGTAACCTATGGGAAGGGGAGAACCAGGAGATTCCCATCCAATAATCAATGAGCAGGGAGGGGCATGGGCAGTTCTGGCCAGGTGTGGTGGTCTGGGCCATCCCTGGGCAACCTGAACAGGAGTGCTGAGCTTTCCCTACTCCTAGCCTGCCTCACTAGCGTGAAAAAACCCATCACAAAAAGAGGGCTGGCAGAGTGACCTGAAGGTATCATCTCTGAGTTTCAAACCCCATTACTGTAATATGTATATTAATATATATTATATATATATAGTTATTGTGAACAAAAGGGAATTCATGTTAGGATTGGACTCACCCCACACACACCTTTTCAGCAACTTACTGGAACAAACCCCCACCACTTATAGGAAGGACCACAACCTAGCCTCAAGGGAATGACAAACTCTCAGCTTGCCCAAGAGTCCAGAGCAACCAACCTATGTAACTGCCACCATCTCCTCTAGCTTTTCATAGCAATTGTTAACCCAGCAGTGATCCAGTTTAGATCTTAAATCAGCATCACCTTTGTTCTGAGGCCCTTGTATGCTCAGCCTGATGTTTAGCATCTAACAAAAAGCGGGCCTGAAAGGCCCAGGGCAATCCTTCTGGAGTCCAGCAGGCACCATTTGCCAGCTGGGAGGGATGCCAGGAGATGCTGATGGAGACTTCACTAAAAATTAGACCGCTTTCAGCAGTTCAGGGTTGTCCTGTTCCAAAGGTAGGGAAGGCAGTGGACAGCTCTGCCCTTTCTTGGCATCTGTCTCTCTCTAAAACTAACTACTTCCTTGTGTTCTCACATAATCCTTTGGGTATGTGAGTTGTCCTTAGCTTTGAGCATGTGCCTAACGATCAACAAGAAAACTTGCAACTCCTTGAGCAGCAGTTCTCAGAGCTTGAGGTCTTAGCAGACTTCACTCTTTAGAATTTACTGAAAGACCCCAAAAAAGCTTTTTTCTTTCTTTCTTTTTCTCTTTTGTGGTGCTGGAATTTGAACTTCAGGGTCTACACCTTGAGTCACAACCACCTGCCCTGTTTTGTGAAGGATTTTTTCAATAGTGTCTTCTTGAACGATTTTTGCCCAGGCTGGCTTTGAACCTGATCCTCCTAATCTCTGCCCTCCTGAGTAGCTAGGATTACAGGCATTAGCCACTGGCACGAATCTCCATAGAGCTTTACTTATGAACATGCATCAGTCTTTTACATTATGAGAAAAACTTTAAATTGTATGTATTAATCATTAAAAAGTAAGCCCATTATGTGTCAACATAAATTTTAGTGAAAATAACTTTGCTGTGAGACTCAAACTAAATTGGGTCTTTTCTGTCAAAGAGCTAGCTCAGTCAGTACAGCGTGAGACAATCTCAGGGCCATGGGTTTGACACCCTTCCTCCTCCCACCCATCACACCACAAAATATGTCTGTCATTGTGTGGATATTAACTAATTTCCTCAGTTGTCTATGTGCTCTGTGGCATGTCACCTGGCTGTAAAGTTTCTGCCTTTAAGCAGAGAATCATTTGTCATTGGATATCCTAAACTGAAGCTGCTAGTGTTAGGACAATCATTGTTCAAAGGAATCTCTGCTTCAAGGTCCCCTTGGTCCACAGGTTAATTATATACTTGGTGCTGCCATTTCAGGTCAGATAGTCATTTCAGGCCTCAGTTTCCCCAGAATTCTAGAATTCCCACTTTATGAGACACTGTTGGGTCTGGGAATCTGAAGACTGAGAAGCAAGTCAGTGCCCCCAACCCCCATGGAAGCACTGTGAACTCTGCATCCTGAGAAGGAGACATACGGTCTCGAAAATCTGCCACAGGGTTGATAAACAGGATGCTCTTAAGATTGTTTCTCCCCGATAAGGGGCAAACAGGTCAGTTTATGGGGGGGGAGGTTATTATGAGAGCCCACATGCACAAATCCATGATCAAGATCCCACCTAACCCTTACCCTAACCCGGAATTAAAGCATCAATAAAAAGTCTCAACTTCCACTGTAGCAGGGAGCTACCAGTTTCTGGTCACTGCTGCACTACTTTATCTGTAGCCTTTTCTATCACTAATAAATCTATCTGTGTTGGCAACTCTTTATGTCTCCTGAGCTATTCCTAAAACTCAGCGAAGACAAGAACCCTTGGAGCACCCCCATCCCCCACCCCCACCCCACAACATCACCTCTATGTCTTTGAGTACACCAACCAAATTAAGTTCATGTCCATGCTCTCCAATCATACATGCTCTTCCGCTATGCCCTCTCCTAAACCTCAACCTTAATTAATCATGAAAACTGTGAATATGAGCTCCCTTTCCTTTATTAGCAAAGGGGCAATTCTTTGTGCAGGTATAAAAACTAGGGCTGTTTTCTCACCTGGTGTGTGCTAGCTTGCCTGACGAAGGTCAGAGCCACACCCTGCAGAAGTAAATTTTGCCCTGCCAACCATCTTCCAAGAATATGTCTGATTTGTGATTGCGGCAGCACCCCAATATTTCTAATATTGTCTGAAAAACAAAAGGAAACTGTTAGCTCATAGGAGATGGGTTGTTGATTCTACACCTTCTTTCAAATCATTTAACATCTAGCTTAGATAGAAGTGATTTCTCCATCCTATGCCGATTCTGCAGTCCAGTCTGTTACTGATTTGTTATCCCAGTGAGAATATGGAGAAAATGTAACCTTACATAATATGTAGTGCCGAAGAGGGATGCATAGAGAATTAATCTTTTCAGGTAAATGTGGCATACTGGTCTTCAATACTGAGTGAGTTGACAAGTGCGTAAATTTTTTTCAATACTGGGGTTTGAACTCAGGGCCTTGTACTTGCTAGGCAAGCACTCTATCACCTGAGCCATATCCCAGTGACAAATGGTAATTTCTTAAAGGTTAGTGCAACTGGAATCTGAAACCATGTGGACAAACTTTGTACTCTATCCAGTAAAATCCACTTGTGTTTTGAAAAGGGTTTTAACTATGCATGTTTTGTAATAGTCTATTAAACGTTGACTCATTTAGAAACTCTTGATTCACGAGTTATGCAGCTCTTACAACTTTGACACTTTTCATTAATGCAGTGGTCAGACAAACACGAGTTAGTATCACTACTAACCTCATCTAAAAAGTCATTAGGTTTTAGGAACTTGTGCTCATTTAGCAGGAACAGAATTTCCAAAATTCTAATTTTTGCTTGAAAGCTTAAATTTTACCATTGCTAACAAATACTGTCTACTTTTTTTTTTGAGACAGTGTCTCATTATGTAGCCCAAGCAGGTCTTGAATTCATGACCTTCTGCCCAACTTCCTAAGTGGAGAGGTTGCAGGCATGCACCTCTACTGTCCAGCTGTCCTTATTTGTACCCAACAGAGTCACTTCACTTAGCTTTTAATTCCGATTTTCATTTTGATTTAATTGTAGACATATGCAGCTTTGGTAAGAAGTAGTACAGAGAGACCCATGGTTCCTTTAGCAACCATTTCCTAGAGGTGACATCTTGCAAAACTGTACAGTAAGTAGCACATCAGAATGGTAGCACTGAGCAGCAAAGTTAACAGAACAGCCTCTTTCTTATCTATCCATCTGACAGGAGCAGAGCTTTTTTTCTAGCTCCTGGTTAT